TCTGTAGTTTGGCTTTTTGTATTAGCAAACCAGAACTATATTTGCCTTCTTTACCAGGCTGCAACCCATTAGATGTCGACGCTGTGTGTGTAATTTTATCTTATATTCTCCTAGATTCCATATTCTACCTGCAGCACAACATTGTCCTTCTTATTCTAACCGGATCATAGAGACATGTTTGACGAGAAATAGATGCCCAACCAGTCTTTACTGCGTGCCTCTTAACTTTCAACATATAGTGCTAGATACTGTAGTCTTTTTCCTCAATGGAACATAATGTCTAGTTTGAGATAAAATTAATGCCTATCTGTATAAAAACAATATAGACAATACAAGGAAGTGTGTGAATTACAGAAAGTGTGCTATAGAGATTCAGAGAAGAAGAGAAGTTAGGGTGGATTTGGGCCTTGAATTAGGTTATTTTTAAAAGGGTAAGGTTTAGGCAACTCCTTTATTTTTGATGTATAGATAACCTTATTTTATTTGGCTTTAGCATATGATTTATAGTTGTTGGTTTTTGTATATTTGTTTGTTTTTCAAGAAAAAGCCTTGTTCTTAGCTTGGCAATAGTTTGATCTTTCATGTTGCATGTTTTACGTAAGGCATAAATAAAGATGATATTCTAAAAAATAAAAGTGTAACATGAAAGTAAACTTACTTAAAAGTTTTTGAGTGACTAGAGCTTAGTTGTCTATAATTACTGAGATAAACTCCTGTTATACTGACCGTACATGACCATCCTGAGGGGTACACATTATAGGAAGAAAATATTTTTGAAATGAGTATTAGTGGTTTTTACCACCTTATAAGTAAACTAAGTATCAGAGCTTAAATGGCCTTTTTTTCCTACCCAAACTTCTTATATTAGCAGCTTATCAAGTAAGTTTTGTTACCACTCAAAATGTTAGACTATGAAAATAATCCAGAGACCAAATAATTTTGTGGATGATTTCTGTAGGTAGAGAACATTTGGGTATAATTTTGAGTACTCTCTAATTTTCAAGTCCAGTATTATTTCTGTTATACCCTAGATAAAGACATTTTCCTTATTGTTTTTGGAGCTTCAACTCCTATAAAGTAATCTTTGTGTAAGTTAAGTTCTACATTCAGTAAAAGGTACATAGTATAGTAGAGGAAACACCGGACTTAGTCTTGTCCCTACTTAATTAACTGGAAAAATAATTTCATTTTGGGCATTATCTTTTATATATACCATGAAAGAGTTTAACCATATTAATAAGGCCTTCCCAAGTGAAGGAAACTAGTTTTCACTTCCCTGTAATTTTGTGATGCTTTTATATCTTTTCACTAACAGTAAATGCTTACTGTAAAAGTTCCTCAGTGAAATAAAAGGGGAGACTAAAGTACTACTGAATTTGCACTGGGAGTTCTAGGGTTTTTCCCAGGACATAGAAGAGGCCAGTGGATGGAATGTGGATTCCAGATCAATACAGTAGCACCGTAGGATTTACTGGTAGATCTCAGTGTACTGTCTGGAATCTGGAGCCTTGGACTAACTCATCTCTAAGGTTCCTTTGGACTCTGGTTCTAACATATGTCGAAAAGACATTGTTGACCAAATATTAATTTAAAAAATCACAAATAACCCATTTTAAGGCAAGATTTTTGTGAGGTACTAGAGTCTTGAGCCTCTCCTGGCAGTTAAAGACCAGCCAAGATATTAGCTGAAGGAGAGTTCTTAAATTTGACACTTCTCCAGTGATTATCTACTTTTTTTTTTGTCCTTTGAAAAAGATGCTATATTTATTTTCTCTATAACAGCATTTATGCTATCTCATTTGGGGAATTTGAAAGACGTGCACAGTTGATTACTCTTAATATTGGATGAGTGATGCTATCCCTCTTCTAGAGAAGACTTGGTTTTTGCATCTTCTTCCATATCTGGAAATTATAATTGCTTCCTAATGTATTCATCAGAAGTATGCTGTGAACAAAGCATCTCAAAAGGACAAACACTGAAAATATGTCTATGTTAAGGAAGAACTTCTGGCTTAATTAAACGAATCTTATTAAATTGTCAGAAAGACAAATGAGGCATATTTTTCAGTTTGTCATAAAATCTGGGGTGAAATTGTGAAATTACCTAATGCTAAGACCTCTGTGCCCATGAATACCATCTAGAAATCTCAAAGCTTTTTATAAACTGCCTCAAAGCTTTTTATACGCTGTCTCCCTTTTAAAGTGGGGAAAGGCATGCTGTGGGAAATGGAATAGCTATTATTCCACAGTTAATAAGTTTGGCAGAGCTAGAAATAGCCTGATTTTCCTTCTAGTGCAATTTTCTGAATGTTTGTCCCTTGGTACCTACCACTGGGACCGGCTACAGTTATACACAGGTACAAAGAGTACTTCCTAGTGACCTTGCTTTCAAGTTGCAATTCTATCCTACTTGTCTTTTTAGCCATTTATTCTCCACTTATCCCACCTAGTGGATTCATAATGTAGTGTGTATAGCTTCTGTGCCAATAGGATATATATCTTCTTAGAATTGTCTCCAAGCCTGGTGTAATGGTCAGTATATAGTGTTTGTTCTGCTCTTTGCCACTTTCCCAAGGGGACAAACACACCAGCAACTCTGGTGAATTTTTCCATCAACTTATTGATCAATGTGTCCATTGGACAGTTTGGTTAAGCAGCAGAATTCGGCCCTACTGTCATATATAGGATTTACCTAGCACAGGCTATGTGTGGTGTGACCCACACTTTCCCCATGCTTACATTGTGTCTATGCTCTGTGCCAAAGCCACAAAGTAGTGCATGTTATATCTGCATTCATTCACCTGTGTACTTCAAGGGCACAGTCATTTCCACATAACAGGTTTTGGATAGCTCAAATACTTGCCATGACATTTTCAATCTGTAAGAAGTTCTTAGGATAGGAAGTACAATGTCTTCCAGTAGCTGCTCTTTGGTCTTATCCTCTAACTTGAGCATGGCAGTACAGACAGTTTGAATAAGTCCTGCTGGATAACAGAATATTTGCTCATAGATGACCACCTATCAAGTGACTTTAAAACCATACTTTTATATAGCACTTTACATCACCCTGTTCAGAGGTAATATCCCAATTTTACAGATGAGAAAACTGGCCTAGACCAGTTAAAGAAACTTACTGAAACTCACATAGTCTTGTAACTTGCCAAAGCAAAAATTCAAGTTCAGACTGCCTACTATGTTATATTGTTGATAACTGTGGGAACTGAGAAATCCAAACAGTATGACCCCCAAACCCATGATCTTTTTCTTTTTTGGTTCTGTGGTATAAGAAGGGTTCCCTTTAATAATAAAAATATTACTGACTAGGCAATATAATCATGTGGTTCAAAATTCAAAGGGTACAAAAAGTGAAGGGTTTTTTCCCCCACTCTTGTCCCTAACCATCCAGCTCCCCTACCTGGAAACATTCACTTATCACTTGTATATATGTTTTCCCAGAGGTATTTGTTTCATTCACAAGCAAATGCATACCTATAATCCCCTCTTTTTTTTTTTTTTTACTCAAATGGAAGCATACTATAGATATTGTTCTGCACCTTGCTATTGCACTAGATATATTTTAGATTGCTCACTAGCAGTCCTTAGAGAATGCTGTCATGCTTGGGACTGCTGCATAGTTTTCCATTAAATGGATTTATTACATTTGTGGGTAATTAAGTTGTTTGCAACATTTTGTTATTAGATATGATGTTGCAGCAAATAATTATATATATACATATGTATTTTATATATTCATGTATGAAATTTATACACATACATATATATTTATACATATATAAACATATAACACACATACTTGATGCATAGTATTGAGAATACTATTCATAGAGGTTGAATTTCTGCTCTAAAGGGAGTGGGCATTTATGGTTTCAATTGTATCCTCATGCTGCCTTCCATACATGTACCAATTTATGTTCTCACCAGCAGTGTAATGAGAGTGATTATTTTCCCATGATCTCAACAAAAGTAATGTGATCTGAAACTTTAAAAAAAGAAACTTTTTTAGAACAGTTTTAGATTTACAGAAAAGTTGCATAGTACAGAGTTCTGTATACCGCCACTCAGTTAACCCTTGGTGTTAACACCTTATATAACTGGCATATTTGTCACATGTAACAAATCTTATTAACTAAAGTGCATAGTTTATTCATATTTTTTTAGTTTTTACCTAGAGCCCTTTTTCTGTTCCAAAGCCCCATCCAGGATACCACATTACATTTAGTCTTCATGTTTCCTTTGGTTTCTTTAGTTGGCAGATTCTCAGACTTAACCATGTTTTTGATGACCTTGTCAGTTTCAAAGAGTCCAGATCATGTATTTTATAGTCAGTGTACTTTGAAATTTACATCTCACTTATAAGTGAGATTAGACATCTTTATTTTCCAATACTTAGGGACATTTGTATTTCCATTTCTGGGAACTCAGAGCGCATGTTCTTGACCACTATGTTATACCTCTCTCTTGATTCAACACAATTACCAATAAAACATTCACAGGCCTGAATTCACATAGACTTCAAATTCTCAAGATAGGCAGTACAATGTCTCATAAGCCTCTGTAACAGATAGAGGAGTACCGTTAGTGCAAATTATGTGTCAAACTTGTGTCTGATAACTGGCTACCCTGCAGAGGATGGACTAAGGGCCCCACTGGACACAGATGGTAGGCCAGATAACAAGTCCTTGAAAGCAGAAGCAGGGTTGATAGGGACACATTGAAGGAAAAGTAGAGGAGCCAGGATTTGGTGATATTGATTGAGTCAGTCAAGAAGTCAAAGCTTTATGAGCTGGATATTTTGGGTGTTGTCCTTAACCCGTAGGAGAAATATTTGAACTTACAATACACCGGTTATTCAGTAGGTACTCTTGTGTTTCGGTTTCTTTAGCTCTGCATGACTACAATTCCCAGAGCCCCGCACTACACCACAATCCCCTTAGAGTCGGCCGCACGGAGTTCTGGGACTTGGAGTCCGCGGCCTGTTCAGCCAAGTTAGAGATAGGGGCCTGTGGAAACATGAAGAGGTAAGGGCTTGTCTGAGAGCAGGCGGCAAAGGGAGCTCTCTTCTACCTTTTAACATTGAAAATAGATTTTATGACTTTGTGTTTGGGGTATGTCACGTTCTCGGGATGCGGTTACGTGTGAGCTGGAAGACAAAGGAGGAGGGAGGAGGGGAAACAGGCTAGATAGGCCTGCAGGGAGAAGTTCAGGAAGGGCCGCCGCCGCCGCCGCTTCCCGTAGGAATGCCTTGCCCGCACGGGCATCTAGGCCACGGCGCCGGCCCCAGGAGCTGCACGGATGCCGTGGCTTCTTACAGCTTCAGAAGGACCCACCCAGGTAAAAAATAAAAATAAAAAAAGAGTGTTGGCCGACTGATGCCCAGCGCCGGAGAAACCCAGGCCAGCTCCTCCCTGTCCCGCCCTACCTCCACCTTATCCTCCGAAAGGGGCTCGAGGTGGGCGCCTTTTTTCTTTTCTTTCTTTCTTTCTTTTTTTTTTTTTCAGTGTTTGTGTACTAAAGAAGACTTCTTTGGGCCTCGAAGGGCATGTAGCGCTTTCAGATCTTAACGTAAGCTACTAATACACTTTGTATCTAAAAATTTAGACGGAAAGTATAAAACCGGCTCCACGAATCATAGGAAAAGCACCGCTGCAAGCAGCTCCCCCTACTGGTTCTGTAGGGAATGGCACCTTTAACTTGGCTCGTCATTGTTGAAAGCCTGAGCTTCACAATTGTTTGACAGCACACAATGCTTTTTGTAAAAGATCCTCCTTAAATTGGTTTTGGATTCACTGCAAAGTAGAAAGATCACTCGGGAATAGGACGGTTCATTTAAAGTTCTTCTGATATTATGCTCTCCTGTACTGTCAGTTTCTGCATCTTTTAAAAAACCGTTTCTGATTTTCCCTGCCTCAAAATAATTTTTAAAA